CGACATAAAGCTGAGGTTGCTATGAAAATGTGACAGGAATTGTGAAAATTCAGCAATCTTAAAAAAAAAACAGATTCATAGCATAGATATTTATGAAAAATACCATCTATGATCCTAAAGGAAAGTGTGACCCGAATCAGCTCGTAAAATGAAGATAGGCAAGTTTGGACAAGTTTGGCGTGGTTCAGAGGTGTGGCCTTGGATGTTTTTGTCATAGGAGACAACCAGGTGACAAAATATAAATAAATAAATAAATAAATAAAAGATGCAGTGCTCTAGAATTTATGGACTCTAAACTGAGATGTATTTAAGATGCCTAATGACTGTGACTATTTTGAAAAAAAAAATCACCACACAAATGTTTTGGAAATTGTTCAAGGTTCAAGCGACAAGACTGAACCGTTGCAACTCATGCATGGATGTTTCAAGATACAGTATTTAAATACCCAAACTAATTGCCAACAGTTGCATCCCAATGTGATGGCAGCTCTCTGGGTTGAATGGAGGCAGAATGCGCTCAGAAATGGGACATTTTGCTGGAATTTGAAAGCCTGGGACTCTGCACTTTCCATTTTTATAAAAAATAACTCCTAAGATGAGAAGCTAAATATCTTCAACTGATAGAAAATGAGCCATTTTTATTTGTTTTTAAACTCTTAGGTAGGACTGAATTTATTGTGGCATGGGGACTTTTGTCCAGTATGCATTGCAGTATACTGTACCTGGAGTCATATAGCCTGGCCATCTTCCYACGCAGTTCCTGCTTGATCCTTATCTTCTTTCACTGCTCCGTCTGGGCTTTCTCACATCGACCTGAATTTCTCTGGTAGAATTTCAACCGGGCCAATCAGCAAACAGAAGGAGGAATTGTGAAATGGTGACGTCAATTTTCTGTGCTGTTTTAGTCTGCCTGTAGTTTAGTAGGCCTAGTGGCAGTGGAGGAAGTGAATGAAGCCATTCAGTCTGTGTTGACAAATTTAATTAAATTTGTCAAAGCCTGCAGCCCTCACTTTCAGCCACTTTGTTTGGCTTGATGCTTCTCTCCTTCCAGTAGGGGATGGTTGTTTACAGCGCATGCAATATTCTGTAAGCTTCTTAGTGTAGCTTACTTCACAGTCGAGTTGGCACACTACATACCTCACGGCCAATTGCTAGCAATCGGGTAAAATCGGATCCAGCTTCAACAGAGTCCACGCCTCCAGATGGCAATCGTTTCTCTATAGTCGAGAGTCCAGACCCTCTGTTTGTAGCAAAGCGAAGAACAATGGGCTGTTTTTTACTAGGCTAGGATGGTGTTGTTTACATTAAATTTGTGGATCTTGGCCTGCTTTTATCTTAAATGCAATTAATGCATCAGGCAGATATTTAGTCAGCTGTCAAGATGTTGTCAAATCTTTTTGGTATTTGTCTGCAGTTGCATGCCAACCTCCCCGCGACCAAAAACGGTTGTTGAAGCTATTTTCCATTGCCCTTTTACAGTAATTAATAACTCTCTGTCCCCCATTGTGTCTTTTTGACATATTCACAATAACAACCAGGGTGGGGTGTTCACCTTAAAGGTCACATTCTGGACTTTCAAGGACATTGCGTGGTACAAATGAGGCAAAAAATAAGCTGAATCAAAACCTTATTGCTGCCATTGATTCAGGTCCACACATAGAGTCTGTCCTTAAAATGAGAAATGTCTTCTTTACTACCTGTTGATCATCTAACACTCACAAGAAGACATGGGTTTGGACTTTCCCAGGAAATAATACACATCAGTGAAGCCTAACACGTCAGCAAACTAACTTCTCCAGCCAGGTCACTTCCTCTCATTTGGAGGATGACTACCTGAGCTACACTAGGGCCAGTTGTATATAAAATATCTTTAAGTTGTACTCTGAAGGATGTGTCGGAGCTCTTGTTTACAAGTCATCCTCTGAAAGCTGGACTCCCCTTGTGTGTCAAAAGCCATCTAACAACCCCTTCCACAGATCTGTGACACATGAAGTCTCTCCCTCCTCCCTCTCTCCCAACAGTCAAGCTTCATCAGGCAACAGAAAACACAGAGCCATCAATAAATAACTAGGAAAGCAGGTGGTACCCAAGAGCACATCCATCTACTTCACTGGGGGGAACTATTTCTGGATTCTAAGTACTTAGTATTCCCACTTTCAAATTGCCCACTTCACTTGCGCTTGATAAAAGGTCTGGGTGACGTGTTGCAGGGTTAGAATTGAGTCGTTGCAGAGAGAAATACGCCACTGAATTTAAAATGGTTTCATATTAAAAGCCTAAATATTTACTTGCTTTCATGCCAGAGTTTCAAACTAARACCTTTTTAGGATGTGGAGAGGCAGAGTTGGAGCCGTTTTTGGTCAAACTTTGTAAATAAGGATGTTTTCCATGCAAGATTGCATTAGCTCTCAGATTATGAGTTGGGGAAGACTCTCAGTTACTACTACACTCATTTTAACCCAATATTTGCAAAACAGACTGAGTTATAGCCATTTATTAATGTTTGTAAAGGTTGCTTGGCTTAGTTTTAGATGTAGACCAAATGATTTTATTGTTCTTAAAGGTGCTCATTGCAGTGTCATGTAGTCAGGTGAAATGGAAAAAGGTAAACAGAAAATAAACCTGTACGTTTTATATTTCAAATTCAATTTTAGTGTTCTTAAATAAAAAAAAAAATGTAAGCAAAATGTGCCAGTGGCTGCCAGCTAACATGTGGGATTGTTTTCCTACAAAATCAGCCAAAACGGCTGATAAAAAGTCAACAAAGGTGATGAAGAGTCTTTTGAGAAGAATAAGACTGATAATGTGAATGTATTTGTACATATTTAGGTTGAAAAGATAAACTCATAGGTCTGTGTTTMAATTCAGAGATCTGTCTTATGGTGCTCCACTATCCTGCTTGATCTCCGCTATTTATGACAGCTGTCTTTGATCTTTCTCTTTTTGTGTGTGTTTAGCTGCAGATTCACCTTTAAATTTCCACTCAAACGTCTTCTCCTTGAATCTATGCTTGTCCAGTTCTGCCATTTTTGTTTACCTAGACAGACAGCTACCATAGGTCAATCTTTTGGCTAGTTTCCACGTGGTATATGGCAGATTCAATCAGTGCTTTAGTTACATAGCTGCATTTTAGAACTGCACATTAGTATAACTGGTAGGAGGCCATGGGGAAAATCCWAAATTTGTTGGATATCTCTCTGGCCTTGGAAYGCTTTCAGGGTCCCCAGGACGAGCTGGASAGTGKTGCTGGGGAGAGGGATGTCTAGGTTTCTCTTCCAGGCCTGTTGCCTAAGAGGCAGAAAGCGGAGAAAAGGCATTTCTGGAAAACAACAATGGAGTGAAATCATCCAAAGTRCACTAATGTAGTTCAGGATAATCTTGTATGTTTGATTTTATAGTTTTCAGTGAGCATAAAAGTAAATTTACTATTCTCTGAATTTGGAAGAAGAATTTAGCCTTTCAGAACATAATGCATTAGCCTACTTGATTTATTTGTGATTATAGTGAAGACATAACTAATTCAAACACTAGTGAACTTTTTTAATTGATTTTTCCACATTAAAAAGTATTTAATTGTGACTAAGAAAACACTGTAGATGTATAACTTTAAAAGCATATGTTTTAACTCTTTGTTTTAGACAAACAAGATAAAAATTGTGTTAGACATTTGCTTTCACTAAATGTGATGAGCATTTGAGATACCCACAAAAACTGTAATTAAATAGTATTTGGCATAAGACAATATAAACTTTTTCTTTTAGATTATTCTTTACCAGTTGACTCTTATTGAGTGACTTTTATTCGGCACCTATCTGGTCATGTTTCTTTTTCTTTGGTAAAAAATGCTAAAACACCATTCTACGTGTAATTTCTCTATTTTCCAGGTAAAGATGACTCAGAATTCTATACTGGAATGAACGTGTTATCTGTAGGCCTAGTGCATAGACAGCATGAGGGCAGTAAGTCTTTCATATTTCTAAAAAGATACAAATCCTTTATTTCTGGCTGAAGATACTGTAAAAATCAAACAGCATGAGCTTCCACAGTCATTTATGTGTGCAGTTGTGGGTGTACCTTTGTGCATGCACTACATCTGCTGGACTACAGCAGTTCAAGTCTGTCCTATTATTGTGCCAAGGTTAGATGAGTAGGCAACATGGCAACAGAAGACAGATAATGGTGGATCAGTTAGATAAATTTGGTCACTGCTTTTTTACTGACTGAAAGCCACTAGGCCAAAAATATACAGGTCTGTATTTTCTTACCTAAAATCCAACTTCTGGAACATTTTATCTCAGCAAAACCCAAGACCAGCATCTTTGTGTGACATATGGCCGAAAAACACTGAAGGCTGAAGGCTAAAATACAAGTCCTGATGCATCTCAATAATCCAGGTAGAAAAAATAAGTAAGTCCTCTGGACGGGTTCTAAGAAGAACTCATCCAGACTTACTTAATTTTCTTTTTTACAAGTACATCATATTACTGAGGGAGTAAAACTGTTAATCACTGAACAGTTATTGTGTATGCACTCTGTGCATGAGTGTTTGACATAATAATCTGGAGGAAATAAGGAGGAGTACCCATTTTGATAAAATTAAAGAAATTGCACAATTTGGTGGCAAAACAAAAATAATGTTTCAAGGCTTTTTAAAAATCAGTAATTATCTCAAGTTATTGACGAACACATTGTGTCTATTATTGATTTTTATTTCATTTTCTATTGGAAAATCTCATATTGACGGTTTTTTTTTTCATAACTTTATTTTTGAAAATATTCCTGAAACATTTTCTTCCTTTTTGTCGATGCTTCAGTATCGTGAAAGCCGATTGGTCGCAGCCGACAAGAGAGGCGGGACTTTGTTTCTTTTCTTGTCAGTTATTAGCTACTTTTTGAATTCCAGTCTCTTCCTATTGAAGGAAAGTGTCACGAGTCTCTCGTCTGATTGGTTAATGAAGCAGGCGGGAAGCATTGAACAAGTTTTAAATATTCCATCGTAATTTCCCTCGTTCGACGTTAGGTTGTAGTTCGGCATTTGGGTTGTTGTTCAGAGCTCGTTTTAATATATTTTTTTACGGATTTTCAGAAAATAAGAAGGATGGCTGAACCGCTGAAGGTAACTTCACTGTACTGAGCTGCTGTTAGCTTAGCTCGCTACTTACGGTTAGCTAAACGTTACCCTGCTGCTAACACATAACTTCGCGTTGTTAGGACTTTATGCAGCTTAACTTTAAGAGACAAAAAATAATTGTTTGATACAACAATGTCCGACGTACGTACAAGATCACGTGTTTTCTGCACACGGTAAATAGTGTAATAATCACAAGCCAAGGCCAGTCTTTCCTTTTGTCCTAAACAACCGTGTAGTTAACGCTATTTTGTGCAAACAAAAATGCATTTAACTCTAAACCGCGTATTTCCCTCGAGTAAAATGACCATATCCTATAAAATACACGAGTTTAACCAGTGACAAACTGGTTTAAAAAACGTGTTTCTAAGTGTGGGGGAATAAGTTACATTGGTGCAAAACATTTAAGCCGATTAATATCTGTGAAGATAATAAGGGTTAGAAAAATCAAACCAAAGGCATGCAAGTTTTAAAAAAGGGGGGTAAAACGACTAAACTCGTATCCTTTTAATTAAATGTATACGCGAAATTTCAAGCAGTAAGGTTTTGTTTTTTTAAGCCAGTGGCATTACATATGTTGTTCTTCTGGTGTATAAAATACTGTACAAATTCAGTGTTGCAATGTGAACTCCAATTCACCTTTTTGTTTGTTTGTTTGTTTGTTTTTAGGCCTTTTTAGAAAACAAGCCGGCAGAAAAGGTGAAGAAAGATGCGAAGCGGATGTCTGTGGAGAGGATCTATCAGAAGAAGACCCAGTTGGAGCACATTTTGCTCAGACCAGACTCCTACATCGGCTCTGTAGAGCCTGTCACTCAGGTTAGAAAACACTGTGATCTTTTTTTTTTTTTTTTGCTTTTTGTGTCTGCAGTTTTTTACATTCTTGAGTCAATCTCACTGAAATAGAGGTTAAAATGTATATAAACCTATATTTTTCACTTCAATGCACGATGTTGATTGGACCAAGTAATTGAGCGTATTAATAATCATAAGTTGAATTCTTTTCTTAGCAAATGTGGGTGTACGATGAGGGTGATGGACTGAACTGCCGTGATGTGACTTTTGTGCCTGGTCTTTACAAGATTTTTGACGAGATCCTCGGTAAGCCGAAAGCTTTTGCAATATATACAAATGTAACGTGGCTCATCTTATGTTTGGCCTTTTTTTAATTCAAAATTTTCTGCTTAGTAAATGCTGCTGACAATAAGCAGAGGGATAAAAACATGTCCTGCATCAAAGTCAACATTGACGTGTGAGTAGTAAATCGCACCACCAGATTATATTCAAAGATGTGCTGTAATTCTCCTTCAGTCTTCCTTTGCTTGCATATTCAGGTTTTCTTGATATCACAATCATAGTGAAATGCTTGTATTTCTCTTAGTGAAAACAACACCATCAGTATTTGGAACAATGGAAAAGGGATCCCAGTGGTGGAGCACAAAGTTGAGAAGGTTTTTGTGCCGGCTCTCATCTTTGGGCAGCTCCTTACTTCCAGTAACTACAACGATGATCAAAAGAAAGTCACTGGTGAGGCTTGTTTGCTGTGGTTTGACTGCTTCATATCATAATTTAAATATTATGTTATACTATAATTTCTGTACTCAATCGATGATCTGATAACTAAATATTAAACTTACATTCTTCTGAAGTTTTGCAGTACATTTAGTTAAGCATCCCTGATTAAATTTAAGGTCACCCATCGCATCGTCTGAAACAAATGACAACTAAATGAGATTCAACCTCCTTTTTTTTTTTTTTAGGTGGACGTAATGGATACGGTGCTAAGCTCTGCAATATCTTCAGTACCAAGTTCTCAGTGGAGACTGCTTGTAAAGAGTCAAAGAAGGTTTTCAAGCAGGTAGGTGAAAAGATTTCCTTTTATTATTATTGTTAAAGGAAAAGTTTATTTTAAAGCGTGTTTGTGCTGTCTTCAGACCTGGTATGATAACATGGGCAGAGCAGGTGATGCTAACATCAAACCCTTTGATGGGGAAGAGTACACTTGCATCACCTTCAGACCAGATCTGGCCAAGTTTAAGATGACCGTCCTGGACAAAGATACCGTGGCCCTGATGACCAGGAGGGCATACGACATCGCTGGATCCACAAAGGGGGTCAAGGTGTTCTTCAATGGCAAGAGGCTGCCAGTGAGTTCCTGTGCTCCTTCTCTCTTTTAAAACTTTCTTTAAAAAATAATTTAATTAAAGGAAAAATGCATTTCTTTTTTATATTTAAGTAAAAACACTTCACTAGGACAGCTGGGAATTATACAATAAGATTCGTGATTAAACTTTTTAGTATAAATTTTATAGGAGTTGGATGTTGTAATCAGTTTCTAGGAAATATGGCTGGTGGTTTTCTGTGTAATAACTGAGTCAAAGCAGCAAAGTGATGAACTGCTAATTTCTGTTTTTAATTTAAGCATATTTTTATATTGAATCATTTAAAAGAATGATACTTTAGCCTAAAATCCTTGTGATCATTTATAAGTGATTATGAATGATGGATATTTACAATATATTATAAGCAACAATAATATCACCTTGCAACCTGTTTTGAAATAATTGCTCCTGTACGTGTATTTTATTGTCAGCAAGTTCTTCTTGTCCACCTTTTACCTCCCAAGTTTTGACCAAAACAACATTAAGTGTCCCTTAACATAAGACAACCTTAATTTAAAATTTGCCATCTCTTTGTTTTTCTGAACAGTTGCTTATCACTCATGGCTGAACCTTGCTTGTCATTTCTAGATTACAGGTTTTCGTAGCTACGTGGACATGTATGTGAAGGACAAGGTGGATGAGCTGGGTGGTCCCCTCACTGTGATTCACGAAGCTGTCAGTGAGCGCTGGGAAGTCTGCCTCACCATGAGTGAGAAGGGCTTCCAGCAAGTCAGCTTTGTCAACAGTATTGCTACAACAAAGGTAAATAGCTTACCGCATTTATTCATGTATAATACAATCGTTTTTTGAGCTTAAAAAGCATTGAAAATTTACTATCAATAACTCGTGTATAATACTACACCCCCCACTTTATGGATGATTTTTAGGGTTAAATTTCTAGCATATATAAATAGATGCAGTATTTTATTCCATACATTTGTTTTAAAATACAAAGTAAAAGTACTGCATGCATAAGATCCAACTTTGTTTCCAAATTATTAACTTTAAAAAAAAGTTACCATAAGTTGTCTGATAGAAAACTATGCCCGTTAAAGCTTTTTAAAAGTTTCTTTGTTTCTTAGAGCACCTAGACAGCAAAGTTTGACTGAATTAGAAAGCCAAGTTGTGTTTTCTGTCAGCTAAGTACACGTCTGGCTGCTCTCCAAACACTTTGTTTCTCTGAATTGGATTTATAATATTTCTTCTGTAAATGTGTTTTGCGTTTTAGGGAGGTCGACACATCGACTATGTGGCTGACCAGGTTGTCGGCAAGCTCATAGAAGTGGTGAAGAAGAAGAATAAAGCTGGTGTAGCTGTCAAACCTTTCCAGGTACGTAAAACTATTTCACATGYGTGCTTCTTGCCTTTGCAGGGTTTGTCGAAACGCAGGTATTATGTTTACTCACATGTTGTCTCCTTTTACAGGTGAAGAACCACATGTGGCTGTTTGTTAACTGCCTGATCGAGAACCCCACCTTTGACTCTCAGACTAAAGAGAACATGACATTGCAGCAGAAAAGCTTTGGATCCACTTGTCCTCTTAGTGACAAGTTCATTAAACAGGTGTGGGTTTTACAAAAAAGTGATATTTTTGAATCTACAGTGATTTTCAGCTTTTTTCTAAATGTTCTCCACCATCTTGTCCACTTCAGGCTACATCCTGTGGGATTGTGGAAAGCATCATGAACTGGGTAAAGTTCAAGGCTCAGTCTCAGCTCAACAAGAAATGCTCAGCTGTGAAGCACACGAAAATCAAAGGTGTGCCAAAGCTGGATGATGCTAATGATGCAGGTACTGTAAACCTCCATATRTTTGTGTTTTTGTTTATATTATAGACCAGCATTGTTTCAATGTTTATCAGCTTCAGACGTCCGTTTGAATCACGTCTTCTGACAGGTGGGAAAAACTCCATTGGCTGCACACTGATCCTCACTGAGGGAGACTCAGCCAAGACACTTGCTGTGTCTGGGCTGGGGGTGGTCGGAAGGGATCGTTACGGTGTGTTCCCCCTCAGAGGCAAAATGCTCAACGTCCGGGAGGCCTCACACAAACAGGTTAACTCCAACTCCATTCTTTAGGCTTCAGATGACAMCAAATTACTGCTGCTGTCATGTCGAATAGTTCAGTCATAAAGTCATTCCTACCTTCATCTGTTTGTGTTCTAGTGAAAAGAGAAAAAATAACCCTTTTTTTTCTCTCTCAGATTATGGAGAATGCTGAAATCAACAATCTGATCAAGGTCCTTGGTCTTCAGTACAAGAAGAACTACAGTGACTCAGATTCCCTCAAAAGTCTACGCTATGGCAAGATCATGATCATGACAGATCAGGTGTTTGATCTTTCTGGATTTTGTTCACAATCCTGTGGAAATATCACATGATGTCAGCCTATAAATATATTTATTGTCCTAAATATTGTTGCTGCTTTTGTTTTTATAATGTGTCAGCACTGTATTCCTCTTGTGACAGGATCAAGATGGCTCCCACATTAAGGGCTTGGTGATCAACTTCATCCATCACAACTGGCCGTCACTGCTCCGCCATAACTTTCTGGAAGAGTTCATTACACCCATCATCAAGGTAAATGGGCTCCTCTAAAGTCCTGCTCTGGTTTTCATTAAGTATTTTCAATTTGTATCAACCACAAAGTAACATTTACTGCAGACTTATTTGAGTGTGCTGCAAATATTGTGGGAAAAGAGGGGGTGATTTATTGCTGCAGAAGTGCAGGTTTTTCTGTGCAAACTCCTCAAGTTTAGAACTCTACTGCCATCTAGTGTCCAAACTTCAGAAGACTTTGTCAGTTGCATTATTTTTGAATGGTTTCGTTTTTGTAATTAGCTTTTATTGTATTGATTTTCATTCTGTTTTGTTATGTTGATGTCTACCTCTATGAAGATATTTTAATACACATTTTGTTTTCCTTCCTTCAGGCATCTTTCAAGAAAACACAGCTGTCTTTCTACAGTATCCCTGAGTTTGAAGCATGGAAGGACAGCCAGGCCAACCACAAGTCCTGGAAAATCAAATACTACAAAGGTTTGTTACAAACCCCTGTGTGGTAGTAAAACACGGACAAGTAAGCTACCCATAATACAGTGTTGAATTATCTGAATCTGCATCTAAGCTGTGTTGCTGTAACTCCTGTTGCTGTGGTATTTTCCCACTCAGGTTTGGGAACCAGCACATCGCAGGAAGCCAAGGAGTACTTCTCTGATATGCAGAGACACCGTATCCCATTCAAGTACTCTGGGCCTGAAGACGATGAAGCTATCACCCTTGTAAGATCTTAATCCTTCATTTGATGTGTCTGATTGTCTGACAGGAATGTTCTATTTATTTTGGGTTTTTATATTTGATTGAGKTTTATTTGTCTTCTTTATTTGTTTAGGCCTTTAGCAAAAAGAAAGTGGAGGAGAGAAAAGAGTGGCTGACAAACTTCATGAACAACAGGCGCCAGCGCAGGGAGCACAGTCTTCCAGAGGTGATTTTACACTTTTTGTTAAAATACCTGCGACATGCATAGCTTGCAAATACAAAAAGTGAGAAAAAAAAACATCTTTATATTTAAAAAAATTGTCAAAACGCACACAGTTTTACCCATTTTTTCTTGTAACTGACAGATTTTCTTCTTAATTTGGCTGAACTAAGATGAAACAGGAAGTGACATCAAAGGGGAACTCTTTGAGGAAGAAAATTCCTGGTCTTTGTTTAATGAAACAATAAGATTTAAACTCCAACACATCTTCATCTCTCGCTAATAGAGACTTAAAATAACCTAAAAAAAAACCCCATCAAATTCTTCTCTACAGTCTGTGTTGTCAGACATTGTGGCAGTGCTCTGTTCACATTCAGACATTTCCCCTTTGACATCACTTCCTGTTACTTCACATGTAAATATCTCAACAACATTTCATCTCTTTTTTTTTTCAATATGTTATTGTTATCTTTCAAAAAATTAATTCGTATTTTTTACAAAAAATGTGATGTCACAGGCACTTTAATTTTAGTTTTTGGTTTAATATGACTCCAAGTTTTTTGCTGTGTTTATAGGACTACTTGTATGGCAAGTCAACCAAGTTCCTGTCTTACAACGACTTTGTCAACAAGGAGCTTGTGCTTTTCTCCAACTCGGACAATGAGAGGTCCATTCCCTGCTTGGTGGATGGTGTGTGAATTCGTCATAAAGTGCAAACTTGACTCTTAATAAAGACACTGTCAGATCTGACAGGTGTTTCCTGCTCTGTGTGTGTTTAAGGGTTTAAACCAGGTCAGAGGAAGGTGCTGTTCTGTTGCTTTAAGAGGAATGACAAACGTGAGGTGAAGGTTGCTCAGCTGGCTGGCTCAGTGGCTGAGATGTCGGCATACCACCATGGGGAGGTGAGATCAACTGAATTGTTGGAATTTAGCGTGCTGGGAATGTCTCAAACCTGTCACAAATCAGTCGTATTTGAGACACCGTAACAATTTTTGAAAGAGCGTCATAAGAAGCTTCAATCAGCCCAATATTAATATTTTTAACTAATAAAAAAATGTTGTTATGAGTAGTTCTACATTTATTTTTCCATCAGAGGTTGAATTACTAGTACTTAAGTGACATAATCATTAAACCGCTGTAGGACCTTTTTTGTAGGCGGAGTTGTAAAGTCAGTCACATGGCAGAACTCTGCAGATTCATTGTCCTAATATGATGGGTTTTTTTTTGTTTTGTTTTTTTCCCAGATGTCTCTGATGATGACAATCATTGGTTTAGCCCAGAACTTTGTGGGAAGCAACAACCTGAACATGCTGCAGCCTCTGGGACAGTTTGGTACCAGGCTGCACGGCGGGAAGGACTCTGCCAGCCCTCGATACATCTTCACCATGCTCAGGTCAGTGAGCGCTTTACAGACGGCAAACCTCAAAAGGCTGTGTTGTTGTTTAGTGGCTCTAAATTCTTTCATCTTTCTACATCCTCAGCCCGTTGGCCCGTCTTGTTTTCCCACCGGTGGACGACAACCTTCTCAAGTACAACTTCGATGATAATCAGCGCGTGGAGCCTGAGTGGTACATGCCCATCATCCCTACCGTCCTGGTGAACGGCGCCGAAGGTATCGGCACAGGCTGGGCCAGCAAGATCCCCAACTATGACATCCGTGAGATCATCAACAACATCCATCGTATGCTCAACGGCGAGGAGCCTCTGCCCATGGTGAGGAACAAGGAGCTGCTTTCTGAAATACACTCTGTCTGTGCGCATGTTTTTATTACCTGATGGGGATGAGTTTGACCATTTTCCCAGTACACACAGCCTTGTAGGGACACATGGTTCCCCCACACCATTCCATTCCAAGCACAAGGCCAACATATGGGGACAAAAGCCCAGTCCCAATTGGGAGAATTACTGTTGGTGGGTCAGGGGTTAGGACTAAGGTGTGAATTGAGTTTATGCTAGGCTTTGAATCAGGTATGTACTGGGGTGGTTAGGTTTAAGGTAAGGGGTCAGAGTTAGGCTGTAGAAATAACAGATGGGTGGAAGTCATTTCAAAGTCCCCATCAGGGGAAAACATGACACAGACAGGTACATTAAATTAAATAAGTGAAGAACTTGTTCCTATGTTGCAAAAAAAAAGAATAACTTCAGCTAACTGAAGTTTACTGATTTAATAAGCAGTGTTTGTACATTTTAACATCAGCCTGAGCTGTGATGAAAAATAAAAATACAGTACAATAATGGCATAATATAAAATTGTGGTCATACTGCACACAGCTAGTGTGTCTGTGTGTATAATAACTGATAAATGAGCTTTCTATCCTTCTAGCTTCCAAACTACAAAGGCTTCAGAGGCACGATTGAGCAGGTGATGGACAACCAGTTCATGAATAACGGAGAGGTGGCAATCATTGATTCAACAACCATTGAAATCTCTGAACTGCCCGTCAAATCATGGACACAGGTTAGTCTTTTAAGTGGTATTGAACAAAAGTGTATAAAGTACTTGGAAATACTAAGTAAAAGTAAAAATACCGTAACAGAAAAAGACTGGTAAAAATGAATTTCACTGATAAGTAGCTGCTCACAAGAATCTGGAAAGTAAAAGTACTTTTACACACACTCTAAAAAATGAAGTGTTGAATTAACCAAGTTATGTTACCTGCTTCCACTGCACCAAGTTGAGTTTGGTGGAAGCAGTTAAAATAACTTAGTTTATGCACTCTAAAGCTATTTTACTGGATAAACAACTCCTTTCACGAGTTCCAGTCATACTTCAATTTGTGGCGTGTGATGAGGTTCAATTTTAAGTAAAGAAGTAAAGTATCATTTTTTATGTTTTGTGTAACATAATAGTAAAAGTTACTATTTTAAAAAAATACTTGGTAAAGTTACAGATTCTCAAATGCTTAAGTACTGCAACAGAGTAAATGTACTTTGTTACTACACACCTCCAGTTATAAAGGGCATGTTTATAAACAAGAGCATTTTAATCACCAAATACACTCCATTTAGATTAACTACATGTTTGTTAACACAATGTTTGTAGGCGTACAAGGAGAACGTGCTGGAGCCGATGCTGAATGGAACTGAGAAAGTTCCTCCTCTGATCACTGACTACAAAGATTATCACACTGACACCACAGTGAGATTTGTGGTCAAGATGACTCCAGAGAAGCTGAGGGAGGCTGAGGCTGCCGGCCTCCATAAAGTCTTCAAACTGCAGACCTCCCTCACCTGCAACTCGATGGTAAAACCTTTAACACATTCACAAGGGATGATTGTTGCCTCATGAAATCAAATGAAATGTTTATAAAATGCTTTTTTTTTTCTCCTCCAGGTTCTGTTTGACCACGTGGGCAGCCTGAAGAAGTATGAGTCTGTGCAGGATATCCTCAGAGACTTCTTTGAGTTGAGGATGAAGTACTACGTTCTGAGAAAGGACTGGCTGGTCGGCATGCTCGGGGCAGAGAGCTCCAAACTCTCCAACCAGGCCCGCTTCATCCTGGAGAAAATTCAGGGAACCCTGGTCATCGGTTAGTGGCTCATTTTGAATTTTAACAACATAAAAAAATAACAGTTAACTTTATCTTTAACAACAGTTTAGAGCTTTTTTATTTTATTTAATTTTTTTCGTGACAAACTTCATAATGTTCCTTAACAAAATAATGTCTTCTTGAAGAGAACAAGCCTAAAAAGGAACTCATTCAGATGCTTCAGAAAATGGGCTACGACTCAGACCCTGTCAAAGCTTGGAAACAGGCTCAAGATAAGGTAGGATGTTCTTAAACATTCAGGTTCAACACTACGAACCCGTTCAAAGTTCTTACCTTTTTTCTTTTTTTTCCTTTTAGAATGAGGAGGAGCTGGAGGACGAAGAGGAGGAAGGACAAGAAAAAGAGGACAGCAGCGGGCCCGACTACAACTACCTGCTGAGCATGCCCATGTGGTTCTTGACCAAAGAAAAGAAAGAGGAGCTCTGCAAACAGAGGGACGCTAAGGTGACCGTTTCACTCATCTGATACAGTCTCGTTTAAAATGATGAGAAGTCGATTCTGACCCAAATGTTCTCCTTTTTAGATGACAGAACTGAACACCTTGAAGAAAAAGGCTCCAGCAGACCTGTGGAAGGAAGACCTTGCTGCTTTCTCAGAAGAACTGGAGGTATTTGCTTTTCATGCTCTGGCACCAGATTTCATTTGAATCTGTAGCCCTTTAATAATTTTACTCCTGACTTTAACGTTGATTTTTATTTGGTGTGCAGCGCGTTGAGGCAAAAGAAAAGGAGAATGCTGCGATGCCCATGAAGGCAGCTGGGAAAGGCAAAGCCGTGAAGGTGAAACAGGAGACTTTGCCCACACCACAGGGCCGCCGTGTGATTCCTCGCATCACCAGCGCCATGAAGGCTGAAGCTAACAGGAAGGCTGATCTGAAGAAAGGAGAAGGCAAGAGGGGCAAGAAACCAAAGGTAAAACAGTAAGACCTGGAATGAAACAAATCCCACTAGACAAAAGTAAATCTTAAAAGGGAAACGGAACTGCCACTTGATTTCAGAATGGAAGTGTAGTGGTGAACATGGAGTTTAACGAGGATGAGGAGAACATAAAACCCATTGAGGAAACGGGGTTGACCGCACGGCTGGGCAAGAAAGTCAAAAAAGAGAAAGGTGAGAAGGTCTCATGAGTACATAAGACTTTTATTTATAAATTCAACACTAGTTTTACTCTCAACTTAAAAAATAAATTTCACCACTTGTACAAAAATTACTCCTTTGATTTTTCTGTATCTGATTTTTGTTTTTGGACAAGTTTAGGTTTAGCTGCACTGTTGCCAACTCCTGAGTAAGAAAGTAGCTATTGGCTATCCTAAAAGTCACTAGATGATATCATCACCTCATTAGCATAGCAGGTTGGGTGTGCGGCTGGCCGCCGGCGTGCTGAGGGTTCCCGGGGTCTGGGGCTGGGCGCTGGGGTGTGTGCCGGCCTGGCCTGGTGACTGCCTGTTGGGCCTCTGGGCCTGTCGGGTTTGGCCTGGAGGGGGTGCGCCCTGCGGGCCCGGACCTCTGTGCCCCTTCCTGGATCTGCTCTGGTATGGCGGGTGCCGGTGCGGCCCATGAGTTTGTCGCTGCTGGCCCCGGGGGCTGTGCGTGTGGTCGCATAGGGATTCTCCCCTATGGTCTGATCTGGGGGGTGGGTGGGTGGATCTTCCTGTGCGGGTGCCCCTTGGGGCTCTGCGCTCGGGATCCCTCTCGGGCCCTTGGGCTCTGGTCTTCCCTATGTCTGCCTCGTGTCTTGGGGTTTGGGTCTCGGTCCTCCACAGTCACTATTAAATATTCCATTGGAGAAATCTTGTATATACACGCATGTTCACAACCGCTCACAAACAGGTGCTCTGATCTGGGGGGTTCTGACAGGTCACTGAGTGTGTATATATGTCTGTGTGTATATACTGACAATATTTATGAATGTAGGCATGTATGAATGTATATCTTTATAAATGTATGGGTATGTGTATATACTGTATTTATTTATGCCCTCCGTGTATTTATCCATTTATTTTTCAGGTGAGCGGACAGATGTTGGGTGTGTGGTCCTGTGTTTTGTTGGTGTATATTTAAAATACTCCTAATCGCTATTTCAATCTTTCTATCTTTCTAATTACTTCTCTCTCTGTTTTTCCTCTCTGTCTCTATTTTCTCTTCACTTAAAAAAAGAATTACTTGTTTTGCATTGAGCTAACCGTTTTTATATCTGGGCTGCAGACATGATTCTTTCACAAACACCAGCTTACATTTTGTTCAAACCCCCCAACACAAACAGCCTCACTGGCACTCAGAATGAGTTGGGCAGTGCTGTCCAGTTTGGTTTAAAGTGGACATGAAGATCTGAAGTAGTATTCAGCAACAATGATCTATTGTTTCCTTTTCTATCTGTACTGTAATGAATTTGCTTAAATGTCGTTTCCAGTGGTTTCAAAGTCTGGCACACAGACTACTCTTCAGTTCAAGCCTGTTTCCAAGAAGCCGAAGAAGAATCCTTGGTCGGACGAAGAGTCTGAAGGTTTGTCCGACAGTGAAATGGAGGCAGAGGAAGTGGTTCACCCTCGGGAGCGGATTGAACGCAAAACTAAAGGTGAATCTTCTTGATGCTGTAACCCTCTCTGCCTCATAGATACAGACATGTGAGGATTAGTTTGGGTCATTATGATTCCAATCACTTGGCACAGCAGCAATCTGCATGTTTCTTACAAGCAGATAAGAAAACAAGATGTTTCCTTTGTTTCATTAACTCTGATTGCAGGAACTGACTTTTTTTTAACAAGACTAATTATCTCCTTTTTTTCCCTGTCTCTAAGATGTTTTTTTTTTAAATGACAGTTTTACTAAAGCTGCTTTTCTCATTTTTAAGCTCCGGTGAAGTACAGCCTGTCTGACAGTGAAGATGAGTGTGATGATTTTGAGAAGAAGAGTGCTCCCAAAAGGAAAGCTGTAATCAGTGACGACGATGTAAGCTTTATCCCAGAACCCACCACGGTGTCTGAACCAGAACCCAACACCATACCCGACAGTGACGGGGACTCTCCAGCTCCGCCTCCCAAAGCTCTAAAACCCAAGTAAGTACAAGTCTTTGAGCTAAAAAATGTTTTTTAACATTATGTTTTTGTAAACCTGTCTCCAATTTGATCATTTCTTTACAGGAAAATAGTGGCGAAGAGTAAAGCCGTTAAGCAAACCAAGTCCAGTTGTAAGTATTTGTTCTGGATCGTTAGCATTATGAGCTCTAAATGGACCAACGGAGTGAAGACTGACTAATTATTTGAACTTTGTTTAAATCAGCAGCCCCGTCTGATGATCCTGCGCCCAAGGTTTCAGCTCAGCGTAAAACCAAAGAGGCTGCGCCAAAAAAAGCTGCTCCTGCCAAGAAAGTAGCTGTTTCCAAAAAGAAGGCAGCAGGTATTCATTCCACTTGTTTGAACTCATTGGATCAGACTCAAGTCCTTAGGAAGTTAAAAAAAAGGTTGTGAGGAAATTTCTGCAAGTTGCAGGGAAATATTTCCAGAAGCTGTACAATGGATAATTATTGTCTACAGGAAATTAGGCTAATAAAACTAATTTGTTTATATTTTAGTATCATTAATCCTTAGTCCTTGATTCATGATGTTTTTTCCCAGATGTGAAGCAGCCTTCTATCTTGGATGCCCTCTCCAAATCCAAAACTGCTGCCAAAAAGGTCCCTTCATTTGACTCCAGTGACTCTGAGAGTGATGGGAAAGTTCAGGTTTCAAAGGCCAAATCTGTTTTGAAAAGGAAACAAGCAATCAGCGACGAGTCAGACAGCGGTTCAGACAACCTCATGTCTAGGCTCAAAGCCAAAACCACTGCCGGCAGCAAGGTCAGGATGCACCGAGGCTTCGTTCATGCATAGCTCAAGTGTTGCACTGGAATTTCTGTGACGCCTCAATGTTTTCTCTSTTGTAGAAAAACAAATGGGACGATGACAGCTTCCAGGTTTCTGATGAAGAAACAGCAGCTGCCGTTGCACCGCGCAACAAACCCTCACGTGCCCGAAAACCCATCACCTACAACCTGGACTCAGACTCAGATGAGGACTTCTAAACTTTTTGTCTGAGCTGTTGTACATTTTAAAACTTTTTTGGTGCTCAGAATTTAGGTAAAATGAKATCACCTTTATGAACGTCGCACACTGTTTGAAGGAATTTTAGAGCTGCAGTTTGAGAGAATTAAAAGGTTTCTTGTTTAATACTGTTCTTATACAAGTTTTAGTTCAAAAATTAACCCGCAAGTTTTTAAAGTGAGGTTTGTAGTCCTGTTCTTTATGTGTTGTAAATATTTCAATGGTTTTTGTATTCTACTCTATAAAAATAAAATTGTCTTGGTGTTTGAAACATAATTGTGCAGACAACTTATTTATTTATTTATTTATTTATTTATTTATTTATTTATTTATTTTTCCTCTGAGTTCTAAATCCCCAACAGGTGTTGCAGGTTTTTAATGAAGGGAGGAGCCTCAGTTGCACATAGTTCCTTCATGGCTCTATCACAGGTGAAGACTCATGTTTTGTGATTTATTGGTCATGTTAGGAAGGTTCACACACAAGCACAAAATGAATAAATTGAACCACCAACTACAAGACTCCTAACTTTTGTTAGATGCCTCTGACTCAGCGTTTWCTAAACTAATTTTATTTAGGCTTCGTCCAGGTCATGTTCTCAAGTTATCTGCTGCGATCAGCGGAAACTGGTGGCACGATTGAAAACAAATCCTTCCTGCCATTTCGGAAGCTCTTTGAAACGTCTTAAAGAGCTGCAGTTCTTTGGTAAACATGGCCCCTGCCTGCCACTGGACTCAGATCAGGGCGGAGAAGGAATTTCCTAAACTGTGACCGCCCTCCCAATTATAATCCCTGACAACTCTGTCAGATGCCATTTGAAAAGGAAACCACTGTAAGATACAACCGACATCCAGCTGTGATTTCTTATTTCAGATCTTGAGGTTGAGTCCAGGTTTTGGATTTGTTAGATTTTTGCATTGACAAGTGGAAATTAAGGGCATCCGTTTGGACCTGTTATCTGCTGGTTTGATCGAGGTATTGTATTTTCACAAGCAGCATCTTGTAAGTTGATAATTCTGAACATAAGTTCTGCAAATTGTCTTGAGTTTTTACCATATTTTTATCTTGTACCTTAAATAGACAATCTCAGTATATTGAAGTGTTTACTAAGTCACTTTTATTGTTTTATAGCTGCTAAGAAGTGCCGTTTGTTTTTGGTTTCAGGTCAAGTAACACTGAAGAGATAAACTCTTCAAACAGCCTTTGACCTCTCGTGTTAGTTGTTGTTCCAGCAGTTATAAATAGAAAAGTATGTTTTAGTTTCTTTTTAATTCAGAGGCAGTTCTTGCTCTGAGAGGTGCAGTTGAAGACGTCTTCGGGTTTCCACCAAGCCGTTTCTGACAGCTCTTCAGCCATGGGTGAATGGGGCTTCCTCGGCGGCCTTTTCGACAACCTTCAGGCCCACTCGCCGATGCTCGGCCGCTTCTGGCTCCTTCTCATGCTGGTGTTTCGGATCCTGATCCTGGGGACCGTGGCCAGTGACCTGTTTGAGGACGAGCAGGAGGAGTTTGCCTGCAACACCCTCCAGCCGGGCTGCAAGCAGGTGTGTTACGACATGGCCTTCCCCATCTCCCAGTACAGGTTCTGGGTCTTTCACATAGTCCTCATCGCTACACCTTCCATGCTTTTCCTCATGTACGCACAACATCATCACAACAAGAGAAGCAGACGCTCCAAAGGCAGCCAGAGTAGCAGACAGGACTACAGAGAAGATGCCCATTTCAGGAGGCTGTACATTGTGAACGTGATCTTTCGGATCGTGGCCGAGATGGGCTTCTTGGTGGGCCAGTGGCAGCTCTACGGCTTCAAGGTGGAGGCACAGTTCCCCTGTAGCCGCTTCCCTTGCCCCTACACGGTGGACTGCTTCACCTCTAGACCTGCTGAGAAAACGGTCTTCCTCTGCTTCTACTTCATTGTAGGGGTGGTATCGGCAGTTTCCAGCTGCATTGAGCTATTCCACAGCTCCATTAAATGGTTCTGCACCAAGCGGGATCCGCTCACCCCTGAGCGCTCCTGCACCTGCCAGAATCTCCACAACCTGMAACAATCCGAGCTGGAGGGGAAACCAGCAGGACCGACATCAGACAGCACTGCCAGCAGTGGGAAACTGAAGGGTGGGTCGCTGAGAGGCAGCAGGAAAGCATCCAGCTTTAGCCACAAATACAAGGGTGGCCGATATGTCAGCACCAAAACACTCATGGTGTGAAAGACTCAAACCTCTTAACCCAAAACTGACTATTTTTGGAATTTTACACCATTTAAGGAGGTTTGCCTGGTGGGAGACGCAATAAGGAAATGTTTGGAGCAGGATGAGGAAATGAGCAAAGACGAGACTGATAAGGAAAACCATGTTTTGCTGCTTCTGATGATGAACCGTTCCTGAAAATAAACAGGCGATTAGAACTCAGGAATACACTTGAACTTGTTTAACACATCACATCAAGCCACACCCCTGCTAACGGAAAGCAGATTTAATACGATCATGTTGAAATTCAGAAATGAAAGTAACTTTATTAACAAAAAGTCTAAAAAAAGAACTGTTTGACATTTCTGGAAAGGTGCTACCTTTTATTAACCATTTAGCACAGACTGAAAAGTTACCTTCTTCAATGAATAAATCAAGTGATTCTTTTGCAGTTCTTTTATTATTATTATTATTATTATCATTATAATTTTTTTAAATTATTTTTTATTTATGTATGTATATATCTTTTTTTCATTTCTACTCGGCTGCTATTGCGAATTAGAAAAGCAATAAATGATAGTATGAAATATAAGACAAACAAGAGCGCAAGCATTTGTTGCTTTCTTACTGGCAAAGGTTGTTGAACTGAACAGCAAATGTCTAGTTTTGGTCCCTGACCCATTTGCTAATTTACTTTTTAATTGATAATTTTAGTTTTAGGCTATTGAATAACATGAGCGTTTAGTTGACATATTTCACTTTAGCAGCTAAAGAAAAGATTCATCCAACAAGACAGGTACACTTTAAAAGTGAAGGTCATTTAAATAAACCTTAACCTGAGAACTTTTATTCATATTTAGTATATATTTTTTGTTTTCTATTTAAAACCTGTTTCTAAAGACAGGAGATAAGTATGTGACTCAGAACAAATGTAAATATTTAAATATATTTTGTGATAAAGGGCACCTTGTGTTTAAAAAGCTCATAAATGCCATGAAAACGACTGTGACTTTATAGAACTGTAATATGTAAAACACTGAATAAACCGGGATTATTGGCCCTGAAATACACTGAAAAATGATCATGTTAGATTAAAATATTTTATGTTCATCAAAAACTACTAATACAATGATTAGTATTAATAAATGTTTGGGTTGTAAAATGTATAAAACTACTCGAATTTACATTTATATCAAATGTTTTGGTGATGATTTCATCTTTGATTCGTTTCATTGTTTGACAACCGGCACAGACGCTTAATTGAAGCCTGTACGTTGACATGGCTTTTTTAAAAATTGCACGGTTAAATTGTCAGATTGAATAAAACACACACATGCAAACTCTTTGATGTGGCATTCATTTTTCTTCCATGCATGTTCTTTCTGTTCCAAAGAATGTTGCAACAGAATGCAAACTGTTCATCAGAAACAAATCCAGCAGCATTCTTGCACAATCTTACAAATCAAATAAAACCTAGCAAATCAAAAAAAAAAATGCTGTTATACTGACTGACGTATTCTGTACTAATGGTTTAGACTTAATGATTAACTTGACTTGAATGGCAACAAATTTCAGTTTCAGTATCAATCAGGCAGTTATAAAATTATTTGTCTCTTCAGTTCATCCATTCATTATCTTTGCTCACTTTGTCCTTTCCATTCACGAGGGCGGGGGTTCCCCCAGGACAAGTTCTTCAGTTCATTTTCCCAGAAACAATTTAATGCGAAGGTAAACATGTAAACATAAACTTAAGAGCCTATCAGCTGCAAGAAATGATAAAGATGATTTTATTACATTTAGGCATAGGTTTCTGTTTGAGAGTTTTTTTTTTCATCTCTGAAAACATTAAGTGATCCTAATCAGCTCCGACTGCCTGCCTGAGATAATTCATAAAGATTAACTTTAACTTTCATTATGTAGGTCTAACTATGACTTGTAACACAGCTATTGCTATATATCTAAGTACATTTAYATTGTCACATGACCAAAGGAAATGCTTATAAAAAATACTTGTATTCATGCTTCTTAAAATTGAGAACAGAGGAAGCAGAAGTGAGCTATAAGAAATAGAAAAACAAGTTGAAAACATAGGAAGGAATGTTACAGTGACTTATTAGACATAGGAGAAAGTGATATGAAAGCAACATGTCAAATAATAAATAATGTCTACAAAAGTCATAAAGCATTATCAGGTTTTTCACAGTATTTKGTAAAGGATTATAAGGAAATATATGGTCAAAATGAGATAGTAAATTAATTCAATCAATATTATGTAAATGTTGGCCCAAGTCTTGCGGCTAAAATACCAAAAGTAGACAATGGGAGTCATATTGTCATGGGTTGTACCAACAGTATTTTTCTTGGTGAAATTAATAAAGAAGAAATATGAGGTGTTGAAAATCTTGCAGATAAAAGATAAAAAAAAACCTGGGTGGGCATGGATATGCTGTTTGTAAATTATATGATGAATTATGTTACTGAAGTGTTTACRTATTTATGTAATTTATCATTATCAACAGGAATATTTCCAAACAACATGAAAATAGCAAAKGTAATGGTGAGGAATGTAKGTTTACAAATTATAGCCTAATATTTCTTTTGCCACAGTTTCCAAAACMTTTTAGAGAAATTATTTGTGACCAGATWAAATGAATTTATTGACAAACAAAACACTTTAAGTAACAGTCAATATGGGTTTAGAACAAATAATTTGACATTGGCTTAAAAGTTATTTGGAAAACAGACTACAGTGTGTGGAAATGTGTCACAATTTAGAAGGGTTATATGTGGAGTACCCCAGGGGTCTGTGATTGGACCAAAATTATTTTTACTTTATATAAATGATATCTGCAATGTTACAAATTTATTAAAGTTTGTTATTTTTGCTGATGACATTAATATATACTGTTTTGGGAAAAAAATTAAAGGACTTATCACCTGTCATTGAAATGGAATTAGAAAATCTTAAAACCTGGTTTGATATCAACAGATTATCACTTAATATAAACAAGACTAAATTCATGGTGTTTGGAAATTAAAAAGAAACTACTAGAGATATGATATTAAAAATATGTGATGCTGAAATTGAATGAGTGTCTGAAATAAAATTTTTAGGGATTATTATTGACTCTAGATCAACATGGAAACAACATATTAAATATATAAAGGAAAAGATAGTGAAAACAATAGCAATTCTGTATAGGTCTAGAAATGTATTAAATTACAAGGCTTTGCATATTATTTACTCTTCACTTATACTTCCATATTGTGTGGAAGTGTGGGGTTCCGCATATAAAACAACAATTAATGATATAGTACTTTTACAAAAAAATGAGCCATATGTGTTACTAACAAGTCTGGTTACTATGAACATACAAATCCACTGTTTATTACATCTGGTATCATGAAATTCTATGATTTGGTTCATTACAAAATAATGCAAATAATGTTTAGAGCAAAATTAGGTGTGTTGCCTGTTGGGGTGCAAACATTTTTTATAATATATGAATTTCAGTATGATCGGCGACGTTATTAAATATGTAAAACGACAAGCTAAAAAGAAATAAAAAGGAGGTCTTTTYCTTTTGTAGGAATTAAAAAATGGAATGATGCAAGTATGGACTTAAGAGAATGTAGTTCATTAAGGGTTTTCAAAACAATTCTAAAAATAAATATATTTGAGGGTTACAAGTGAAAATAACTTTAAATTGTTGTTGTATTTGTTTTGTTAAGGATTGTTTGTTTTGTTTGTTTTTGTGTGTTTTTTATAGCAATGATTATGAGGGGTAGTTTAGTTTAATTGGATGTGTAGGACAGGCATAAATATAAGCCTTGTGCTTCTTCCTGTACCTTTTCAGTCAAAATGTTTACATTTTTGTACTGTTTTGTACTGTTTTGATTTTTTGCTGAACAATTTTGATGTCTGAATAAACAATAATCAATCAATCAAAATCAACATATGGCTCTCATGAAATTGATGGAACAAATAACAACTGCTGTTGATCAAAAACAGTATTGTGTTCATATTTATGTTGATTTAAAGAAAGCATTTGACACTATTGACCAGACTGTTCTCCTTGAAAAGCTAAATACATATGGCATTAGAGCAGTGGTTCCCAAACTTTCTATCTTCTGACCCACAAAATATCCATGGCAAAAATTTGTGACCCCAAATATTACTGGTCTGAGTACACAAACTTTGTTAAAAAACCCTAAAAACACAGGCTTTTTGACAATCTAAACAGCTTGTACACAAATATAAATGCTTCTTTATACTTATGTTGTGTTTTTGTAATAGTTTTAGGGAAAATATTACATCAGCAATTATTTTATTACCCTTTAAATTGATTTCTGGAGATTATCCAAGGTGCTTCATGACCCATT